GAAATGGCTCTCCGTATGGACGCCTTCAGGACCTCTGGTTTCCTGTGGACCTTCAACACAATCAAAGCATTAAAGAGAAAACCCACTTTTTTATTTTTAGACTTACACTTTTCAAACAGCTGCAATCAAATGTTTTATACAAGTTTCATCAAAAAAAAGGTACAAATGTTTGTTCTTTAAAAAACAGGTGGAATGTCCTTTAAAACCAGTGAAACCATCACACGACCCTGACATCAGCTGTCAGTCGACCAGCAGCTCTTCAGTCTTTCTGTGTTTCTGTTTGGAAAGTGCTCGATAAATAACCGTAGTGTCAGCAGAACAGGAACACGTCTTCTTCTTCTTTTTTTTTTTTTTTTTTGGCGGCGGAAGCAGGAGAAGCAGGCGTTTTCATGAAGACGGCGCCCCGCCCACGAACACGCGGCGTTTTCGTGGCAACACACAGGTTCCAACCTCATATACACAACATATCTACACATGTATATATTTACAGAGCACACGTGGACACGGACAGCTCGTCTGCAGAAAACATCATCCCAGCATGCAACAGAGACCACCTGATCCCCGTCCTCCAATCCTCGGCCCCCCTCCAGCCAATCAGAACCACCTGACCACATCGTTAGTGTGAGAAAAGTCACATCGTTCGCCTGAAAGCATCGACGCCCATCAGAACAACAAAATATCATCTGGATGTAAACAAAAACAAACAAACATGATAGAAAAATAAAAAAAATTAAATAAAAACAACTCCTGGAGTCCTGCAAGTCTGAGTTCAGGGACCTAAAACTCCTGAAGTCAGAGGTGAGGGTTCAAAGCTTYGTTGTTTCTGTAACAGAAATAAATAAAAGCTGAGTTCATGTTTGGTTCTGAACGATGGAGACGATACAAACTCAACTCACAAACTGTTTGTTCTGATTGGTTTGTGTCAGCACAGCTCTGACTCCTAAAAACAACCAATCACTGAGGAGGAGAGCCTTAAAGAGACTGAATAAATAAGATAAATTAGGATTTTTTTTTCTCTTTTTTGTGTTTTAAGCAAAGCTGCAGACTTAATCTTAATCTTAATCTTATGCTCTCAGAAACCTTGTGGAAAGTGAAAAGGAGAACTCAGCCCTGAGGGACACCTCAGATCYGACGTTATATTCTGGTTTACAACAAACTAACTCAGATTTGAATCATGAACTGAAAAAAGTAATTATTAGAGATGATAAATTAATACTTTTTATAAAGAATTTCAGTTATTTAATTTAGACAACATCTTTACAAGCTTCTCTAACAGAAACTACATTTCTTGTTGCACGTAAACATGAACTGGATTAAACACTGGAAACTGGATAATTAATGTAAACAGTTTGTTTGTTACAAGAAATCAGATTATATTTTAAACCAGTCGTCTCAAAATAAAAGTGATTTCACCTCGCTTCATTGTTTTGCTTTTCTAAAATTAGAATCAGACGCAGGTTAAACCACGTTTTTTAATGAAATCGTAACATTTCTGGTGCGTTTCAGACGTTCGTGTTTAYGACGACATCGGTCCGTTTCTTTGACTCCAAAGCTTTTTGAATCCAGGTCTGAGTGGAGGTTTTTAAAAACACCTGATGTTGGTGTAAACCTGYGCACTGCGGACGGCTGCAGTCAACAGTGTTTCTGCACGAGAGGATGAACGACAGGAACAATGGAGGACAGCAGAGTTTTGTTTAAACTCAGTCTAAAGGTTTGTGTTTTTATCATTTTGGATGACAAAACGACTAAATATTCTCTGATAAAAAATTCTACACAGAAATAATTCATCGTGAAATATTTTAATCCCTCAAACCTTCAGATTCTGATGTTAGCTTTAACGTTTGTAGCATCAGCTCTCAGGTAAATCTGACGTTTACCACCAGGTAACTAAAGGTTAACAACCGGTTTAATAAAGTCTGAATCAACTAAACCAGGTTTAACTCTCCTAACCCACTGAGTTGGATATTTTCTACTGTTGGTTGATTATTTTATCATCTAATCTACTTTACAGATTCTACTCTAGCAGCTTTAAYTTACCACTAGCTTACATTAGTGCTTAGCCTACTCATTTAGCTTATGCTAAATTTTAGCTGTGTTAGTGTCAGTTATTCTGCATGTAGCAATCCAGCTGCTACATTTAGCCWAACTGTTAGCAGTTGGCTAAATTATATTGCATTAGCTTAAGTTAGCAACTTTGCATTGCAGTTCAAATATTTTGGCAATATCAAAATTAGTTTAAACATTCAAATATAAGCTTTTAAACACATTTATGACTCAAAATATAAAACTTGTGCTGGTAAATAGTGGGTTTGTAGCTTAAAATCCAAAGCTAGTTTTAGCTGCATGCTACATGTAGCTCRTTAGCTGCAAGGAAAAGTTAGCATCATTTCTAAATATAAACCTTCAGCTGAAAACAAAACTAGTGTAATTTAAACAAASTTACAACACTTTTAAAGTAAAAAAATACGTATATACATAATTTTATATGTACCTAGTGGTTAGCTTTGTTAGTATTTAGCTACGTTAGCAGTTAGGTGATGTGTTAATAGTTTATCTTACAAACTAATTTATATTTTGTTTTAAACGACTTCATTTTTTAACTTGTTGATTCATTATTATTA